GACAGAAGAGCTAAAAAGAAAGTCCTCCAAAGAGGAAATGCAAATGGCCAACAGGCATATGAAAAAAATGTTCAACATCACTTGTAATCAGGTAAATGCAAATTAAAACTACAATGAGATACCACCTTATACCAGTGAGAATGGAACATATTAAAAAAAAAAAAAACTAGCAACAATAAATGTTGGCAAGGATGTGGAAAAAAGGAATTCTCCTACACTGCTGGTGGGAGTGCAAAATGGTCCAGCCACTATGGAAAGCTGTGTAGAGATTCCTTAACCTACTGAAGACAGAGATTCCATATGATCCAGCAATTTCCCTCCTAGGTATTTGCCCAAAGGACACAGAAACATTAATTCCAAAGGGCACCTGCACCCCTATGTTTATAGCAGCACTATTTACAATAGCTAAGCTATGGAAACAACCCAAATGCCCAAAAATAGATAACTGGATCAAGAAGATGTGGTACATATACACAATGAAATATTCCTCAGCAATCAAAAAAGATAAACTCATGCAATTTGCAGCAACATGGATGGAGCTGGAAGGGATCATGCTCAGCAAAATAAGCCAGAAAGAAAAAGAAAAATACGGATGGTCTCACTCATAGCAGGAATTTTAGAAAAACCTAAATAAGGACCATGAAAAGGACCAATTATAATAAAGGAAAAATCAAAATCAACTAGCAACTATAAACCAGAGACACACTACAGGGGGGTGAAGGGGAGGAGATGAGGGATTCGGGTCAAAATAAGGTGAGTGCAATTTTATGGGGAATATAACCAAAATGAAAATGTATACATTGTGCAAAAATGAAAAATGATGTAAGAATTATATAAAATAAAATATATTAAACCAAAAAAATATATATATCATCATTTATCATCAGGGAAATGTTAATCATTACTGTGAGATTCTACCTCACTCTAATAAGAATGGCCCTTTTCCCCAACAACAACAACAAAAAAAAACACAAAAAATTTTGTGAGGACATATAGAAAAAGAAATCTTTGCACACTGTTGGACTGTTGGTGAGGATAAAGACTGGTCTTGTCCTTATGGGAAAAACTGCAGATTCCTCAAATATTACATACAGATCTACCATGTGATCCAGTATCTACTCAGAGATGGCAAAATCACTAATTCAAAGGTATATGCACTCCTATGTTATCTGCAGTGCAATATGGAAAAACAGAGCAGTATTTTAAGTCAATGTTATCTCTACACAAAATGGTGTATTATTCAGCTATAAAAATGAACTCTTCAGTTTGAGACAAGGTGACTGAAAATGGAAGGGATTATATTAAGTTAATTGCAGGGAGAAAAACAACAGATGATTTCACTAACATATGGATAATAGACAACCAAAAAAAAGAACTTTTGAAAACAAATCAATACACACCCTAGAAATATTATTGCCAAATTGAAGCTACTAGGGTAAAGGAAACTAGAGATAGGAAAAAGAGAGGTACAGGGAAAAGTACTATGGGTGCTTTGATGGTGGTTATTGGATGATAACATACATCTGAAGAGGTGTGAGCCTCTCCAACTAAAACACATTCACTCCTGAAAGTCATGGTTACTTCAGTAAAGAAAAAAAGAAATCAATTGACCAGAGAAATTCCAGTCAATCCATTTCTGGACATATACATAAAAATACAAAATCACTAAATTGAACATGCCACGATGGCTATTGCAGTACTATTAACAATAGCCAACAGCTAGAAGCAACCTAAGTGTCCAGGGACAGATAATTAGCTAAAAAAGATGTGACTTATATACACAAAGGAATACTATTCATTGTTCCATGGTAAAAATCCTGCCATTTGCCACAGCATGAGTGGCCCTGAGGGTGTTATGCTTAGTGAAATACTCACACAGAAAGACTAATACAGTAGGATTTCACTCTATGTGGTAGATAGGGAAGCTAAACAAGCAGATGAACTAAATCACATGAAAACAAACGTTTGGACTAATTAGTGGTTAACAGAAGAGAAAGGGGAAGAGGAGTGGGTAAATCAGATAACGTGTTAGTTGTCTGGAGAAGGAATCTGAACTTTGCTAGTGAACTTAATGTACTTTAATGATGCATATTTGAAACTTTCCTAATGTTAAAATGCAATGTTATTGCCACTAAAAAATGGAGTTATGTATTTAAAAAAATGTACCAAGTCATTACACTAAAAACTATCATGGGGCCTCCCTAGTAGTGCAAGGGATTAAGCACCACACTATGAAGCAGTTTGCAGCCACTGTAGAACAAGTTTGATCCCCAGCCAGCCAGGGAGCAACCCACATGGCACAGCAGACCTCTTCTGTCTTGCCCGCTGCTCCCCTCAGCAGTGTATTTCAGTCAGTCTGCCTTTTCTGTTCCCCACTTTCTCTCTGGTGGGTCCTCTCACCCTCCAGTATTTCTAACATATACCCCAGCCCCTGTATGCATAAATAAATAAATCTTAAAAAAAATCCTTTAAAAAAAGCTAGCATGGAGAAGAGAATTTTTAAACATTTAAATAAATGCAAAAAGTATTCTGGTCATGATTGGAAGACATCTATAAACTGAATGTAATTCCAATCAAACTCTCAGCAGGTATGTATTGGAATCAGAAAACTGAATCTAAGGCTTTTATGAATATACAAAGAACATAGAAAAACCTAGAAAATCTGGAAGAATGAAGTTGAAAAACAGAGTTTATAATATAATAAGGTGAAAACTACCATAATTCAGAGTTTTATATTATAACCATGAACACACACATCAATTGAACAGATTAGTGACTCACAAACACAAACAAACATCATTGACATAACACAGGTGACACTCATCACCAAACAATATTTTTCAATCAATGGCACCAAATTTCTTTGAAGAAAATAATTTTCAATTAAAGATACTTTCTGTTGAATATCATTTTGTATAAAGTGAACCACAACTTATACCTTGTGCAAAAATAATTTTATGCAAAAGTAAATTTAAAATTAATTATTTAAAGCAAAAGATATTTCTCATGATGTTTTTGCTCATTTGCTCATTGGTGGAAAAACTTCACTAGTTCTGTCTTTCCTTGTATTATGTGCTGATTAATCATTCATTGATTTTTTAATTATTTTTTAATAATTTTATTTATTTTTTATATTTTTAGACAGTTTTTCATTTTTTTTACCATGTATGCTTCACATCTCAGTTATAGTCCCCATGAAATTTCCACCACAAATTCACCCATGTACCATCATGGGTGAAGCTATGGAAACAACCTAAGTACCCCCAAATAGATGACTGAATCAAGATGTGGTCAATACACACAATGGAATATTACACAGCAATAAAAAAGATAAACTCATGCTATCCACAGCAAAATGGATGGAGGTAGAAGGGATCATGCTCAGTGAAATAAGCCATAGAGAAAAAGATTTTTTTAATTCTTATCACTACACATTAAACTTATTATGCACTTTTTACATACATTTCAAATATATCTACTTTCTGTTAGCAAAAGATACAATGAGTAATATTTCCATTTCTTCTTTGTATTTCCTTTTAACAATTACAATCATGTATATTAAGGCACTCAAAGATTCTTGTATTATTAAAATATTCCTCCCACGTGAGTGGAAATTACCCCATTGCAAATAGACACAAAGAAATGTCATAATGAGATTTTTGCAGAGTGACCACAGCATATTGCTCAAGGGGGCCTGCGAGGTTCATAGAGCCTTAGATGAGCACCATGTATCCAGGGGGTGCTGAGAGTTGGGGGGTTCTCACCAATCCATGGAGAACATGTGACAGCCCAACTCCACAGTAACTCAGGGAAAATGAGGAATGAACCTCTTATTTTACTGTTTACATCATCCTGACAGACATGGTACCTGAAGGGGTTATGATAAATCTTTAAAATGACAACAATTTTACACAGCTGTTTTTGTGGGGTGAGATTTTAATCCACTATATTTTAGAGGGTAATTATTAAAAAGTTATTTATGAGTATTTTTGTTACTTAACACATCTATGAAAAGTTTCTGAAATGAAAACTCTTCTTATGTTAATTTCTGTAAAAGCTTCAAAATTTTAGTTGGTTTGGTTAACCAAAGCTAACATTCAAATGGGCCTCCCTCTCCCTGACCCAACCTAAGGGGCACAAATCAAGAATTAAGAGGCAGCTAGACTTGGCAGTGAATAAACTGTGGCAGGGAAAAATATTCTTTGTGAAAATGCATTTAGAAACTGCTCCCTCTGGAAAAATCAGTAACTTCAAAGAAACATGACCTCATGTTTATGGCAGGGCTAAAACACTCAGCTCCTAGAAGATGAATCTTAACAACCATCCCTGTTTCCCTCAATGCATAGACAATAAGGGCTTGATACAGGATACAGACCCCTGTTCAGATCACAAAATGTTTCCCGTGTAAATTATATGAAATCCTCTTCAGAAGATATGGTTCAGGCAGCTTTCCAGAAATCTCTGGTGATAATTTCAGGCTTCAGTTTTCAGTCTTTATTCTTTCATAAGCTCACTTAATTTTCACTTGTCTTGATTGACTTAAGCTAAGAGTTTTTGCAATATATTTTCAACTTGTCTCCCAACCAAATTTAAAAACAGTGCCTCAACAAAAGACATAGGCTTTTCTTCTGTGGATAAACCTTTCTTGGTGCTGTCTTTAGAGCTTGATTTCTCAGGCTATAGATCACTGGATTGAGTTTTGGTGACACAAGGTTTACACTTGTTTTCCTCAATGCACAACAAACATTAGCTGAATACATTAACCAGACACCTGCCTGACTGTTGACATGTTTTCACTGTATATTGTGTATAAACCTCATTGAGAAATCAAAATTTGGGCAGCTCTTCCAGAACTACCTGGTGGTTATACTTGGGTTTCCGTCCTCAGTTTTGATTCTTTCATATAAGCTCACTTAATTTTTGCTTGTCTCATTTGTTTAGGGTAATAGTTTTCCCAATATATTTTGACCTTCAATTGCAACCAAGAATTTACAGATGTGTCAACAAGGGAGGTCAGCATTTCTACTTTGGAATACCTTTCTTAGGGCTGCCTTTATGGCTTTATTTCTCAGACTGTAGATCATTGGGTTGAGTGCTGGGGGCACAACTGTGTACATAATAGTGAGAAAAATGTCCAGTCCACTTGGAGAGTCAGAAGGTGGCTTGAGAAACTCAAATGCGCTGGTTGAAATAAATAAAATAACAACAGCCAGGTGGGGAATGCAAGTAGAAAATGCTTTAGCTCTGCCCTCAGCAGATGGCATCCTCAGCACAGTAGAAAATATCTGTGCATAGGACAGTCCAATAAAGGCAATGCAAAGAAAGGACATAAAAGACAAGAAGGCAGTGACTCCAATATCGCTGATATATTCATTAGAACAAGAGAGTTTTAGGAGCTGGGGATGTCACAAAAGAACTGGTGAATGTGGGAAGCACAGAAGTTAATGGAGAAAGTGGCAGCTGTTTGCATGACTCCAGAAATGACCCCACTGGTCCAGACGCCTAAGACTCCATGGATACATTTGCTGACATCCATGATAATTTCGTAGTGCAGTGGAAGGCATATGGCCACGTAGCGATCATAAGACATCACCGTGAGCATGGATACCTCAGCGGAAGCACAGAGAGTGAAAGCAAAACACTGCACTATGCATTCCCCAAGGGAAATGTAGCCACTGTGCATGAAAGAATTAAATATGGACCTTGGTACAGTTACAGAAATGCAGCACAGATCCAGAAAGGACAGCTGTTTCAGGAAGAAATACATGGGTGATTGGAGACTACTGTCCAGGGAAATTGTGGTGATAATGAGGATATTGCCAGTTAAAGCCATCATGTATAAGACTAAGAACAGAGAAGCAAGTATAATTTCCTGATCTGGCTTGACAGAAAATCCCATCAGAATAAACCCACTCATGGTGAAATTAGCCATAATCCTTCTTAAATTCGCAGTGATGATGCCTACAAGAGAAGATGGAATCACTGGAAAGAACATTTCTGTGAGAGAACCCTGCTACCCTCTCCCACCCACAAAGCCAGCACAGTCTGACCAACAGAAAGGAGAGGGGAAAAAAAAAAAAAACAGGGCCTCCCCGGTGGCGCAGCGGTTGAGCGCTGGGTTGCGAAGCTGCCCGCAGCCTCTGCAGCGCCGGTTCGATCCCCGGCTGCTCCCCGGCCACCGGAGGAGAGTCCCACATGGCGCGCAGACCTCTCCTGCCGCCCGCTGCTCCCCTCAGCAGTGTACTTCGGTCCTTCTGTCTGCTCTGCTGCCCGCTCTGGCTCTGGTGAATTCTCTCACCCTCCCGCGCTTCTGACTGTACCCAGTGCATGTATAAACAAACAAGCAAATAAATAAATAAATAAATAAAACATGCCTCTATTAAAAAAAAAAAAAAAAAAAAACAAGTGGGACAGTGAGTGGAAAGGAATTACTGTAGGCACCACACCCTGCAAACAGGAACTGTGGAAAACCATGTGGGAATCGCCATCAAAGTGAATAAACTGCTCTAGGTGTCATTAGAGGAAATAAGGACTCTGAGGAGAAACCTACAAATAGCCCAAGGCCAGCTGGAAAGCTTCTGAGGAAAAGTATATGTGGATCTTGGCCTAGATTCACATGGAGACACACAGGAACCATCACTGAATGACCCTCACTGAGTAATCAAAAACCAGGTGCCCTGGCACAGGAGAGGGGTGCAAAAGGCACCATTTCTGGGGTTACTGAACTGGCCTATCGCCCACATCCCAGATCTTAGGGCTTCAGAATTGAGAATTGGGGAACAAAATTTGGGGCATGAGACCCCCATGATGGCGGGGCACAGGGCAGACACAGTAACTCCATACCCTTGAAGCACTCCATGCCAACCCCACTCTATTCCCTGGGGACCAAAAGGGAAAAAATGCCGTTCTGGAAGGATACTAGAAAAGATCTCTGGAGCCAACTAGTGACCAGAACAAAATCACCAACTTTCTGATAGTTGGAAACCAGGTATCCCAAATCCACCCTCAGGCTCTGAGAGAGGGTAGGTCAGGCAAAAGGGGGTAAGAAGGGAAACAAGGCATGGAGCAAGACCCCATTCTGGAACTGAGAGCCAGGTGCAGGATCTGGGGCATGGGACAGACCATGACAGTGGGCACTGCACAGGGTGACAGCCAGCTTTTTGGACCTGATAGCCCTGGAACTGAGACTTAGAGAGCATAATTCAGGGTGTGGGGTCCATAAAGCTGTTGGCACAGCACCAGGTGTACATGGGAATCACACAGCACTCAGCTTGAACAAGAGCCCCTGTGTTGAGATGTTCCCCTCCATCCCCCGTTTCTTTTTTTTTAAAGATTTATTTTATTTATATAAGAACTGGGGTACAGGCCAGATGTGCAGGAGGGTGAGAGGATTCACCAGAGACAGAGTGGGGAACAGAACAGGCAGACTGACAAAATATGCTGCTGAGGGGAGCAGCAGATGAGAAAGGAGCAGTCTGCCTCACCATGTGGTTTGCTCTGAGACTGGTGGGGATAGAACCGGCACTGCAGAGGCTGTGTACAGCTTCACAGCACTGCACTCAACCTGCTGTGCCACCAGGGCCCCCCCTCCGTTTCTCAGAGAACCACTGGGAAAAAACACAGTTCAGCTAGTATGGATCTCTGGAGCCACCTAGTGACCAGAACAAAATCACCAACTAGCTGATTCCCTGCTGGAACTGAGTAAATACAGAGGGCAGGAACTGTAAGAGACAATGCCCAGCAACACAGCCACAGCAACAATACCCTGATGGAGTTTTGGCATAACAGTGTTGGACTTGGTCTGGTAAAGAGTTTTTGACACCCCTGAAAGGAGCACTCCAAAGAGATGTCCGCCAACACCAATGGCACAACGTCCCAACACATAGAACTAATTAGAAAGCAAACAACAGGGAGAAGGAAAAAATATAAATAGCCAAGCAAGCCTGAAGGGAAAGAACACACCACAAAAAGAAAAACAGTCACTAGAACTCTTCCAATGACAATGAAAGAAATTCTTGGCCTGTCAGATAAAGAATTAATGATCATCATGATTAAAAAGCAGAAAGAAAATGAAAAGGAAAAAAATGAACTGAGACAAATAATAAAGAACTGAAGAACAAAATTGAACCTTAAGAAAGGAAAGAAAAGAAAAGCAGGAGATAAAAAGATAATAGAGGAGATAAAGAACTCTGGGAAAGCAATGAAAACAGAATCAATGAAATGGAAGAACAGATCAGTACTCTCAAAGATACGGAAATAAAGAGCCAAAAGAGAAAAGGAGAGAGAAGTGAAAAGGAAGAAGTAGGAGGACACCCTTAGACAACTATCAGAGTCCATGAAGAGAGTAAACATCAGAGTTACAGGCACTCCAGGTGAGGAGACAGACAAAGGAACTGAGAAATTATTCAAGGAGATAATTGAAGAAAACTTTCCAAGCATGAAAAAGGAGATGAATATAGACATACAAGAAGCGAGAAGAACTCCCAATTATCACAATGAAAAGAAAACTATAGCAAGACACATAGTAGTAAAGCTTGCAAGAGTCCAAGGCAAGGAAAAAGTAATGAAACTGGCAAGGGGAAGAACAGATAACTTATAAGGGAAAAACAATCAGGTTAACTTCAGACTTCTCCAAAGAAACACTATAGACAAAAAGAGAATGGAGTAACATATTCAGCAAACTTCAACACAGCAAATGCTGAACAAAAATACTGTACATTGCAAAGCTCTCCTTCCCCTATTAAAAAAGAATATGGACCTTCTTAGACAAACAGAAACTCCAGAAATTCATTACAACTAAACCCCCACTCCAAAAAATTCTACAAGAAGTCCTAAAGCCAAAACCAACAGAGGAATGAACAAAAAGAACAGAATAAAGCAAGGAATAAAATCACAAAAAAAGACAAACAAAATGGCAAATACAGATGCCAACATATCAATATTAACCATAAATATAAAAGGATTAAACTCACCAATAAAAAGGAATATATATCAGGAATATATCCGGAAGATGTAATGCTCATCAACATATACTCACTAAATGAAGGAGCACCAAAAAAATATTAGACAATCATTGCCAGCTCTGAAAGCATATATTAAAGAAAATACATATATAGTAGGAGACCTCAACACCCAACTCTCACCAATGGACAGATCTATGAGACAAAAAAAAAAAAGACACTAGAGCCCTAAATAAAACATTGAACTCATGGACTTAACAGCCATCTATAGGAAATTGCACCCCAAAAAATCAGAGTACACATTTTTCTCAAGAGTGCACAGATAATTCTCCAGAATCAATCAAAACTGGGCCACAAGACAAACATCAACAGATACATGAAGATCAAAATAATTCCAACTATCTTCTCTGATCATAAAGGCATCAAGCTAGAAATAAATCATGAAAAGAAAACAAGGAACCCTCCCACTTCATGGAGATTGAAATCCACACTACTGGAAGACCACTGGACTAATGAGAAGATCAAAGAAGAAAATAAAAAATAGTATGAGTTGAATGATAAGGAGGACATCACTTTCCAGGATGTATGGGATGCAGCAAAAGCATTAATGAGAGGAAAATACATAGCAAAACAAGCTTACCTCAAGAAACAAGAAAGAACTCAAAGAAACTACCTAACCTCACATCTCAAAGAGCTAGGAAAAAAAAAACCCTAAAGCCAGTAGAAGAAAGGAAATAATAAAAAATAAAGCAGAAATAAACAAAATGGAAATTTAAAAAAAATCCAAAAGATCAATGAAACCAAAGGTTGCTTCTTTGAAAAAATAAACAAAATTAACAAACTTCTAGCCAGGTTCACAAAGAAAAAAAATGGAAGAAAACACATATAAATAGGATTATAAATGAAAGAAAAATCACAACAGACTGAGTAGAAATGAAAGGAATAATCAGAGATTACTACGAACACTTATGTGCAACAAATTCAACAACCTAGAAGAGATGGAAAAATTCCTAGAGCAATATAATCATCCAAAGCTGAACAAGGGAAAAATAGAACAACTAAGCAGACCAATTACAAGCAGTGAAATTGAGGCAGTAATCAAAGCACTCCCCAAAAACAAAAGCCCAGGCCCAGAAGTCTTCACACATGAATTCTACCAAACATTCAGCAGTGAATTAATGCCTATCCTGCACAAAATCTTTCAAAAAATTGAAAAAGAAGGAATACTACAAATACGTTCTACAAAGCCAATATTACACTAATATCAAAACCAATCAAAGACAGCACACAAAAAGAGAACTACAGGCCAATCTCCGTAATGAACACTGATGCAAAATTACACAACAAAATCCTTACCAACAGAATCCAACAATGAATCAAAGGGATTATGCACCACGATCAAGCAGGACTCATCCCAGGGGCACAAGAATGTTTCATCATACAAAAATCGATCTGTGTAATCCAACATATCATCAAAAAGAAAAATAAAACCCATATGATCATATCAATAAATTCTGAGAAAGCATTCAACAAAGTCCAACATCCATTTATGATGAAGGCCCTTGAAATTCTTGGGATAGAAGGAACATATCTTAACATGATAAAAGCCATATACAACAAGCCCACTGCCAATATTATTTTCCTTTTTTATGTTTATTTTTTTATTTTATATAATTCTTACATCATTTTTCATTTTTGCACAATGTATGCATTTTCATTTTGGTTATATTCCCCATACAATTGCACCCCCTTATTTTGACCTTAATCTCTCCTCCCCTCAACCCCCCCATAATGTGTCTCTGGTTTATAGTTGCTTGTTGATTTTGATTTTTTCTTTATTATAATTAGTCATTTTCCTGGCCCCGTATTTGGTTTTTCTAAATTCCTACTATGAGTGAGACCGTCCGGTATTTTTTTTTTCTTTCTGGTTTATTTCGCTTCAATGGTGAAAAGCTGAAGGACTTTCCTTTAAGATCAAGAACAAGACAAGTATGTCCTCTCTCACCACTGCTCTTCAATATAATACTGGAGGTCC